AATACTCTAAGGGATCACTCTGAGGTCAGGAGCCCACAGCCAAAAAAATCAGTATCGTTTTCCAGAAGTCTTACAAGCAGACAGGAACCCGTGCTGAAACAGCGGGGAAACAAACAAATCAGAACTAAAACGAACGCAATAATTGTCATGGGACTGGAGACGTGTCCACCAACAAAACGTTGTTATCTGTAGCTGGACACCCACGTGATCGTGCGTCTACGGGCCTTTCCCCAAATATTACGTAAAATCGCTTAAATATCCTTCAGGAAATTCTCAAAAAGTTTTCTATATATCATAAAATATTTTCTAAATGTCTCGAAAAACCCTCTAAATATCTCTTATTTTTGTTGCAAAAATGCACCGATTTTGAATCGCTTAGGCCAATATCTTAACAATTATCTTGCATTAGTAGAAGGAGTAGAGGAAGATTTACTTAGCATCCGCCATTTTGGAAAATTGCAACTTTAGTGTTTTTCACGTGCACGGTGATATGAAATATATTCTTAATTGGGAAGCCGCTGTCTGAACTGGATTGTTTCTGGCATAGAAACGAGTATTGTTTCAAGAAAATAGCGAGGAAAAGACAGGGCTAAGCCATGAAAAGTTAATGAATGTTTCCAAGATACTATGATCTGAAGGAAGTTTTATATTGGTACGGGGAACTGAAAAAGAAACGGAAGATTCAGTGGGTATAAGAACGAGATTTAGCCACTGAAAAAGAATTAAATCAGTATAGTATGGCACTTCAAAACCCGTTCTCAAACAAAAAAAAAACTTATTTCTACTCCAGCTTGGAAATTTTGAACTCGTGATATTCAGCTTGTTCAGACTAATAAATATTGTGTGGAGATTGGCTTGTTGCAAAAGTCATGTTGCGGCTATTTCGTGTTTTCCATATTTCGTGTTTTCTTTTTGTCTTTTTTTGTTCCGTATGTTAATGTATTTTTTCACATTCTGCATGCTTTTTTTCTCGCGTCGTATGTAAATTTCGTTGCGTATATATTTGTGTTATCCTTTCATGTTCATTTAGTGCTAGTTTATCGTCTGGTACACTTGTAACTTCTTGGTTCCCTGAACCCCATTGCCAGCATTTTGATAAGCCGTTTAGTTTATGGTCTGTTTTGTATTTTCCTCTTAGTTTTCTGCAGTCTTCGGTTAGTTATTTGTAGTAATTCGTTTTATGTTTATCTTTAGGAATTTACCTTCCTCCTACGGAAAGTCAAATAAATTTGCTGGACTAATTGAAACTCGCTCTAAGTTGTGTCTGAAGTCGGCCCTCTACATCTTCAAGTCAGCTTCATGCTGCTGGCTTTCTAGCATGTCACTACTTATTATGAAAAAAATGCACAATGGAAAGTATTTATAGCACATTTTATTCACTAGTGGTATTTTAACGTATTTAAAACGCAGTCACTCGTTCATTCTACTATTATAAATAATACCCGGCGTGCGCCGGCGCATGCATTGTCCATAGAGTGATCTCTGTATGCTAGGAGCTGTATACACATGCTGTATACGTATATTAGGGTTTGCATTATGCCTACTCCCAGGCTTGGTTGCTCGAAGTTACTGTTTTGAGGATTTGACACTGTTAATCAGAGTCACATTGAAGGCCGCTCAATCTTACTGAAACCTCTCTGAAAATTTACAAGACTTAAATCAAAATTCACCCTAACTAGTGCCTTGATTGAGCTTCGAGCTTAAACAACCGGTCCCAGGTATATAACAACTGTTTCTTCCCCTTATAGTGTTTTGTTAACAACTAAATAAGAGGAATAGTGGCTACAACGACAGATATGCATGTTTTACCGGCTAAAAATAATGAAATGGCAAAGGCTAATGGCGCAGCCTGCGAACGCAGGCGTCAGTTCCAAAAATACGTCTGCGTTCGCAGGCTACTTATGACGTCATTAGTTTGACTGACCCGGTTACCAGAATCCATCATTTTTCTTTTCTTTTTCTCATGCTAATCACAGCGATTTTCACTTGAGTGCTGAAATTAATTCGCAATTGCTCTGGTCTTGCCTTACTACGCTAAGTGATTGGCTTAAAAATTTGGTGCCAGTTTGTCAGTCAATCAGAAGCAAGACCCAAACCAATCGTGACTCACTAGCACAGGTGTTCCCGCGCTTTGGGACGGCCAAATATGGTTTGAGCTTTGATTGGTTCACTGGATTGTCTTGGTATAAAAACGCAACTGCGACTTCAATAAGGAAGGAAAAACTAGATGAATTTAGGTAGTTTTAGTCAAACTGTATGCGACGTCATGTATGGCTGGTTTTAGCTAGAAATCTTTGTTTATCAGCGTGTCAGTCACAAACCGGTGATGAATATGGTATCAAACTAAGTTGATACACTAAATCAGTGCCTTTGTCATCTCATTTCAAGTGTACTCATAAGATAAATGAATGCAATAAGAATGGGCAGGAGAATCAGTAATACCGGTAATTCTATGTAGCCCTATGAGCACAACTGGGTAGTCCGCCATTTTCCAATCGTTTTCACTCGTTTCTTCGAGTTTCCGTCACGAAACAATAATTGTATATTAATACTAGTGTCGTTGCCAGAGCACTTAATTCTCCATGTAAGCAACATGAAGTCAATACCAATTGCGTGTCAGTCTGTTTCGCTCAGTACAATAGAGGGCGCTAGAACTGAATGAGATTGAATGGAGTATCAGCGTTCGCCCTCTTTTTATCGGATCACGGATCTTCTGTGTGTGACAAGGTCCAAATTTTCAAGTCATCTTAACCTGCAGCAGCGTGCTTCAGGAGTGTGATTTCTGTTTCTTTTATCTTCCATTGTCCCCTTCCCATCCATCCGTGATCAGTGTTGCAACTTCTGCGATGGAAAAATGTCGACATTGCTGGTTGTGATATACATCTACCCCTGACTTGTATCTTATACAACAATCGGGCCTTCTTATATCCATTCTTTTTTGTTAATATAGAAGTATTTTCATCCTTGCGATTCGAGTTTAGCCACCTCTAACGGCTATGAGATCGCAGGAACGAGGAGAAAGAATATTAAATAGAATGAGATACCAAGAAATCCCAGCATTCCAAAGACAACAGCAGCTAAGCTCCAGTACTTGGCATTCTTAGCCCGCCACACCGCTCCTTCCCTGTTGCCATCATCGTATGCTGTATCAACCTACAAATATATATGCCACCAATAGAAAACGCTTGTTAACATCGAGTATTTTATACAATACTAAAGTGAAAGAAATGAGATTTGCTCAAATGAAACAGTATATCTAAACTCAATCAGGTTGAATTCTTTCACCGTACGGTTTGTGAATCATTTGACCTTAGAGTCAAGGAAAGAACTCACTTCTGTGCACATTTATTTCAGTCCAGGAGCACGGGAGCACGACTAGTTGAAAAATAACTGATATGCATTGGTCTTTATCTGATTAAACATTTTTACTTTTAATCCTTGAAGAAACTTTTATATCGCTAAGAAAGACGAGAGCTTATTGATTAAGCTACACTTCGCTTTCGGAGGCAACACAGGACATTCCATAACATGTACAAAATCATCGGTATAGTAAGCTATGGCAACTACGATAGTAAATTCATAGGAAGATTACACAAGTCAAAAAGACTTCATCTACATCTACATCTACATTTGTAATCTGCAAAGGAATTTACTCCTCACCGCAGATGTGAGGGAAAAAATAGGAACTAAATGTAGCTAAATCACCATTTTTAAAAACTTCTTTCGCTTATTTTTATCCTTTTAAGGATAAATATAAGCGAAAGAAGTTTTACACATTTCGATGACTCCATGTCATCATTTTCAAGTGAAGAGAGAATAAAATTGATAACTTAATATGTACCATGCAAGGTGATAAAACGTAAAGGTGTAAATCACCATTGGGATAAAGAAGAGACGAGATTGGCCCTAAACGCCTCAACACTCGGTTGGTCTATCTATCATTTCAGCAGGATGTGAGTTCCACTCAGGACACACACCCTAATGTAGTTCTTATGAATCTCATGCATGATATTTGGAAAAATCTAGCCCCTTCGCCTATCAGAGCTCTTTTCCCTAGCCGGGTCAAATGAAATTCATGGGTAAAACACAACTGAGGCATGCCGCAAAAGGGAATTATCTTCGGAAAGAAGCTAAGTCGGAAATTTTCAAACTCTCTTTTTCGAGAACTGGAGCGATATTATGGAATCAAATTTCTCCAGACTGGAGAGATTTATCTAAACCAATCTTTAAGAAAAAAATTCGTAAATTTTTATTTGAGACTCTTTCAGATAGGGATGACTATGTTGAAGTCGACACCCTGACTCAAGTTCTTAAATTTAGTTCCTGATTAATTTCAACCCTTAGTTTAGTTTATCTTTAGTAAATCATAGCTCCTAGTGTCAATCAAAATATGTAAATGTACTTGTATTGAACGGTTTCGTAAATCCTTTTATAAGTAGTTGCATAACAATCTTATTGATGTATTAATGGTCTAATATAAATATAGATGTGGCCCGCCTAGATTAGCCCAGGCTACCTGCTGGTTCGTGCTGTTGCTATTGTCAAGCTTTTTTAACTCGATGTGTATATATTTCTGTAAAATTGTAAATATGCGAGTCATAATAAAGTTGTTGTTGCATAAAAACTGAATGGTTTAAAAAAAAATTGTTTTTTACCTGAAGTGCACAAATGAATCCCACAAAGCCCAGAGGTAAACAGCAGCAGATTGCAATGAGTGCTAAACAGATGTGATTATCTGGACGGGGAATGAGTCGTGGAAGCGTCTGGTTATATGTTGAATAACGAGATTTTCTTCTGGGGTCGTCCTACGTGTAAAGTAGAAACAAAGATGTCAGCACAAAAGATCGTGATCTCAGTGTTCTATGAAGAAAGAAATGTGAAGCACGAGTTCAAAATATGAAATTAAAATGTGATTGGATGAAATAAGTAAACTAAAACAGACGGCAATTTATATAGACATCGAGGGCTAGATTTCGTCTGGCTTTGCTGGGATATGACGCTCAGCTCAATTCAACGGCGAAATTTGGTTAATTCAGTCCAAATTCTTGTGGAGTCACGGTGGCCTCATTGTTAGTGCGCTCGCCTCTGGATCGGGTAGTCCGGGTTCGAACCGTGGCCGGGGATTTTGTGTTTTGTCTTTGGGCGAAACACTTTACTTTCACAGTTCTTCTCATCACCAAAGTATTCAAGTGGGAACCGGCGAATAAAATGCAGGGGGTAATCCTGCTATGGACTGGTATCCCGTCTAGGGGAGAGTAGAAATATTCCTAGTCGAGTCATGCTACAGAAACCGGGATAAGCTCCGACCTGACGGGCCATTTGGCTCGTATGCAGACTTTATCTTTATTTACCTAGTCCAAATGTTAAGTTTTTTATGTTAACATTCCCCATACTTTGAAATTGGTCAAAGAAAGAAAGAGTAAAGCTTCTACTGAACGAGGCAATTTTGAGACAATTTATTCCTTGCTCATACAGTACAGTGTGCAATTTTCCTTTGCAAGGTGTTTTCTCTTCAGAAATACACTGACCCGTTCTAATGGTATGACTGTCACGTGAACTGGGCCTTGTGTATCGTCATCAGGTGGCCAAGCAAGCGTATCTAGTTCTACTGTGGAACCTGGCAGAGGTGTAACCTGGCCTTCCTCCTCTTCTTCTTCGTCTTGTTCCGTGGGAGTGAGTGATGACCGTGTTATTCTGTCGACCTGTAAGGTGGTGAGGTTTTGTTGTTTGACATTCCCATTGGGCAAAACTGCAAGTAAAAATACCGGGCAAGATCAGCTAAACGATGCAGTATCTTCCTGGAGAAACTGAAAGACAAATACCGCCTGAAATCAGGCCAATAAAACCCACGAAAACATAACTCACATGCGGAGTGTTGAACCCCTTTGTTCCATACGGAACTCAAAGGCCGAAGTTAGTCAATTCAAGGGAAAAATTAATGAGATCGTTGGATAGACTTAGTTGAAATCCAATCTGGCTTTCACGAGATATCTTTTTAGAGTAAGGCAATCTCAAAAATAGGTATTTCCCTTTTACAAGTAAAACGTTTTTTTGACTGTAAATTCGAAGGCAGATACAGATGATCCATCAAACAAGGGTATAGGTGGCGTTTACCTGATAGCTAAGAATAAGTCAAAGTTGACTGTCAGCTGAGAAATGTGCTGGAAGTTTAACTACTTTTAACTCATGGCTGAGAAACCGCCGCAAATTTAATAGTAACTGTGACTTCAACAGGAAAGAAATCAGGTCGGATCAATGTTATAGCACAAGCTACAAGAATTCCACTGACAAGTAAATATGTTTCAAAGGAAATCTGATATTTCACAGATTTAATTTCTCAGAAAAATAATGGTCAGTGAACAAAAGAAACAAAACAATTTCGGTTGTCGTAATTGAAAACAATGCTGTAGACTTGCTGGGAAAATTCCCATATTAATAAACTGGATTGCTTAATTTTCAAAAATCACATGTACGCGCATTTCTCGAAACTGATTGTGCAAGCTATTTTTCCAACTTTATCGAGTTTGTAGATAAGTTTAAGGTACGGATCCAAGCCGGTTGCCACCGTTTTACAGAGATCGGTCAGCTTTTTCATGCTGACATCATTATTTATGCACAGAAACCCAGGAAAAGAGACTGCACTCAGGGAGTTAAAATCCTAAACATCTCCCTGAGAATAAATGGTCCGGACCCCTCTGGAAGCTAGGGTCACTGATATATTTAAACTAGATCGCGACTGAGTTTTATTGAAATTTTTTGAGAACGAAATCTCTTCTATATTTGCCCCATTTATTTTCAATGTGGCGGATAAAACTGGGAAACCATCATCCAAATAGTGTTTATACTTAATGACAGACCAGCCAATTTTATCTCTGCGTGAAATCATGGCAAGACGTAGAGATTTTAGCATGGTCAGGAGTAGCCGAGCAAAAGCTGATTCGAATTCATTCCGATTTCTTATACTGCTTGCAGTTAGGAAATAGCCAGAAAAACAGAGAGCAAACGTGAAAAGTCATGAACAAAAGACAAAACTCCATACCTCCATTAAGTTCCATTCCGCTCATTTGATCCACCACTTTCCGTCAGTTCTTAGCCAGTTTAGGGCAAAATGATTCCTGAACATATCAGAAAACATATAGAGTTACTTGAGGCCAGCTTATAATCATAACAGCTAGAAAATATACAATATGAAACCTTTGTAAAGGCACTTATTTTATCGTCGATTAAACTATTGTAGAATGTACATGTTGACTAAAGTTTATGCGTAATTTGAATTTTTGACAAAGATTGATGAGTTTTTAAGTATTAACGAGTGATAACTCCTTAGGAAAAAAGTGATATGTATGAATATTGCGCCCGTTTTTTCTCAAAAACCCGTCGGTTTTGATCCATGTGCCATCTATAAGAACAGCTCGTAAACAATGGGTGAGATTAAGTCTTCACTCACCCATGAAGCCTTTATATTACCAGAGAAGAGAAGTACTAAAATGGCTTAGGAGCTGGCGAATTTGACGAAAACCATATGAGATCAGAGATGTTTTTACCTTTAGAACCGTTTTGGTTTTCAAGAGATTTTCATCTTTGCTTGAGCTTCAACAAGAGGCTGATCTCGAGAAATAATTGTAAAGAACAAAAATATGACTTTCACAAAGTTGTACATGGAATAACTTATTTTTATTTTATATGCCTTTATGGTACGTTCACCATTCGAAGTTGAGTTAATATTCAGTTATCCCTTAGAAATTTATCACTAAGTTCCACAGCACGGAAAACGGAAAATTAAAGAAATAAATGTGAAGTTAAAAGGCCTGCAAACATAAAAATATGTTCTGGAGTTTGAACATAAAAGCTTTTCACGTTAGCTGTAAATTGAGTAGAACTAATCTTCGTAATTAGAACTTTCTTAACAAAATATTTAACTATTGCCTGAAAGATTAGAATTTGCAAAGATATAAATAATGAAGAATGCGAAAATTTCAAGAAATTCGCCTCCACTGACGATGCTCTCTCCGTTTCCTCGGTATCAGCAGAAGTTGTTTATAAACACAACAACACGTGACGTATGTCTTAACGGTTGTTGCCCGTATTGATTATATGATATGCACAGTGGCCTTCTGAGTCAATATCACTATTATTTTTGACGTTCTTAATGTCAACAATCGTTCCTGTTTGAAGTTGAATTCCATTGAAGTTAACTCAAGCGGCAGAAAAACAACTCAACGAAATAGCTCTCGGTTTCTTTCGGAAGTGACTTCATAAGGGCAAACGGAAAGAAAGTTTTTCGACGCGGGAAAAAAAAGGGGCAGCCGCGTCTGTTGTTAGCATTTAAATGTGAACAGCTTGATGCAAATTTTACAGCGAATTGTGAAGTGTGTCTGCTGGCAATATCTAATTCTTAATGCCCTTTTCTCGACGGGTTAGCAATTCAAAATATACGACAGTAAGACTTTTCCAGTTAGAATGAAAATATCCTGTTGCTTTACTAAAATTGTCTTGCCTGTGCCTAACTTGACGGCCGGACTGAAACGCTGGCTGAATCAGCGGCAGTTACTGAATTTTCAAAATTATGATCCTTTTGTGATCTTTTGTCGCTTTAATAAACTACTGTCTCAGTCTAATTCACTTTTCTTTGCGTTCGATTTTTACACAGTTGCGATCGAGATTTTCCAGAAGAACTTCACTAAAACCACAAAGAGAATGGACATTTCCCGTAATCCTGTGGCTTCAGACAGGATTATGAGAACTTTTCATCTACAAAGAAATGTTCGCGTGACCCTACTAACTGGGGGTAACGCTTTTCTGCTTGTAAAACATAACAGACAGTGTATATACCTCGTATACCTCGTCCACATTTGTGGAGTTTCCCTGTGTCCTCAAGTCATACGGAGTCTATTCCAACAGTGTGTTAACCAATTTTTCCTTCCTACCACACACAGCTGTTTTAAACCGAGCCTCCATTATGGTGATCACGGCGCCAATCATAAGACATAAGAAGTTAATTACCATATAATTGTCTTCAGTGACGTAGTGGTTTCAATATCAGCCCTCTAAATTCTTAATCAGGTATTCAACCATCAAAATAATACGTGATTCTTTTCAATAAACTAACATGGATGTTATGAATGCTATTTGTAACATTAGAAAAATTTCTGTTTCATACCGAATAAGTTGAATACCTTCCTGATCGGATCTTCCTTTTCAACATTTCAGTATTCATTATTATAGGAAAACAGGCAAACTGGCCCCTTCCGTTGTTTATGATAGAAATCTTGCAAAATACAGTGCAGTATAAAACTAGGGTCGCCGTGCTCTCTTTTGCGCAATATGGATGACGGTTTTAGCAACTTTTTTGCCCCCGAGACTTTTCTTAGGAACGTACCCTTGTAATAAGGAAGGGAAAGTATTAACTGAAATTTCTGAAAAAATCCTTGCATTAAAATGTTGCAGCTGTTGAACAAGACTTTGATCTCACATTATAACCTATCTTAATTAATTGAAAAATAACTAATTCAGATCATGAAGCAAATTACTGAACGAATTTTCTGCATGAGCACATAACCAGCATTTCCTAAAAGAAAGTTCTAGGCTTTACACCATATGAAACATCCTCGGAGACCCAGGGGCTACTGGCCAATCAGCGGGACGGAATTTGACCAGCGCTGGAACTGGTTTGGTAAGAATAAGTTCCCAGGGGCTATTCAGCTCTTGAAGTAAACTTTCGCACCAAAAATATCGCTCGCCCGAAAATATCGCATCGTCCCGGCTAGTAGCCCCTGGGTCTCCGAGGATGCATATGAAATAGAAATATATCAAACCAGAATTTTAAACTTTATCGCGACATGTCGTAGTCAACCATATGTCATTTAAATTTATACATTAAGTGAGTGGGGTTGCCCTGCTCGTTTAGGCATGCGCAAACGACCTGAAAAACGTGGGCAGCAAGGATGCGCAATGCAATTAAGCATTTGAATTCAACAAGACAGCTGGGCTCTAGTGGTGACAAATTAAGAAGGCATAACGAATAAGAGAGAATGAACGGCAAGAGACTTATTCCCAAGATAATCCTTCTCAAGTTATTTTTCCAGTTCTAGCGCGTTTCGTGGATCACCATGGTTCTCGTGGAGGATGAATTTCCGTGTCAAATTGCTGGGGCTGTCCATGTAAGCAAAATTCCTGTCTCAGGATCCCCTGGGACGTCCAAACCGTGAGAGATCTAAAATTAACTTCAGAGGGATTATCTAGCCGATATAAGGCTTACTCCAATGTGGAGTCTATTTTGGTGTCCAGTAGTTTAATTCTCAGCTTGAACGTTTGCATTTTCGTTTTACAATAGAAATACATGCAGTTCCCAGCTACCAAGAAAACAAAATTGGATTCGAATAATCGAGAGGTTCCACACACTAAAACGCAAGCCGGCGTTTTCAAATTCGTGTGATTCGAATATCGAAAGGCTCCGTTTTCGGCCGGTGGTCAATATTCTGGATTTTTTTGGACGCCGTAGGCCTAACCCCAGAAATAAAGCTGCGTTTTCAAATTTCTCTGGTGTAGTGTGGACAGGGCCTCAATTCATGCACGCACAGAGCCGGAGTGAATTTCCAATTACTATCTGAAATGTCGTTATTTATTTACTCCTCTCTGGCAAAAAAATGTTAATCAAACCTTTGTGTAACTTATCATGTTTTTATTATTGTTGTTGTCTTAATTTGTTCAGTAATTATGCTTTCTTTCTGATTAATTCATTGAACTTAATAATTAATTAACATCACTTAACAAGTTTTTAAACTTAACAGAAATTTGATGGATATAGCAGACTCGAGTATAGTAAAACCTATCCGAGGTTTCCAGGCAGTCATGGCCGGCGAATCATTTGTGGTAATACCAAGGCACGTTGCATTCACGGGAAGTCCCGTATGTCTTGTACTTATATTGATCCAGGCAGTCACCACCCGCTAATCCAAACACGTCAGCCTGGCTGTTATACTGCTTGTCCATACCAGCTGATCTCCACTCTTGTTTATATCTAGCAGTCAATAACATAGATAATAATAAAATATGATATTTTACAACGTCAGCATCAGCACTAGTGGCCGATATAACCTTTATATTGAGGTCTGTTTTGAATCCACTATTTTATTGTCTGTAGTGTGGAGTGGTTTGATATTCGGCCTCTCTCCTCCGCAGAGGCCGCTTTCATGCTGCCTTGACAGTAGGCTAGTAGTTGGGAGGCTGGGAAGAGGGAAAAAACGGAAGCTCGCGGGGAACGCCGGGAACGCCCTTTCTCTCTTCCCATCGTCCCCTGCGCTTCCCCACTCCCAATATCAATTTCCCATAGACAGCCTCTGCGGAGGAGTAAGATATTATGGCGGTTTTTACACAGCCGTTAACCGTTGTATACGAAACAAGAAACAAAATTAGGGATGCATAAGTATGTAAGAGTTTCTTGTCAGAGGATCACGACCAGACGCTAATGACCGCCGGCAAATTAAAAAAAAAAAAAAGATAGATATTTAGACCATAAAATGATGCAAAGTACCGAGGTAAGAGACGACGATCAAGGCTAGGAAATAATTCAAAAACTGTATCACGGAGAGATCCCCGGCTTAGACGAAGGTCCCCCTTACACTCCCCTTTCTCCCCCTCCCCTTCCTACGCACGTACCCACCTCCACAGATCCGTTGTTGTCATTATTTCTTATGGTTCAAATAAAGAGGCTGGTTTACCTGTTTGTTGTAATTTGAAGCGGTCTTTTGGAACATGACCAAAGGAGCGTGTCCAGGTGGGCTACTTCTTCATGGGTTCAAATTCCGTTTGAAACTGAACTCCAGGATATATTTTCGAGCTTTTGATAATTCTTTTCAACATAGGAAATTGAAAAGGGTTGCATATGCATCGTAGCGGAGAGGCCAAGATTATAAGTATTTCTCTTTATCACGTTTCTGGCTTTAGCTCAGACTGGTAAGCACCTAAATTCCGCTTAATTTTAATATAGCACTTGAAATAGAGACTTTAAGATACGTTACGGATCGCTACGGCGAGGTACTGCTACGGCTACTTTGGCCGTGAGGGACTAGGCTGACAACGGCGTTTTTACCCGCCAAACTTTGCTGTATAGCAACGGCGTGTGCAGCTTCTACGTGTCTTTACAAAAATGGCTTCCAGGGTTTCGTTCAAGGAAAACCAGAGACTTTATTCCACTTTCATACCACATAGGCTTGATGAATGACGATGATTTCCTTCTCCTGTATCCGTCTTACATCTCCCAGAACTTAGATTTGCCTTTTACAACTCGATAGAACCGCCTGTATTAAATTCCAACCACAAAACAAAATATAAACATTGGTAAAATAAATACGATTACAGCATGGACAGGTTGTTCGTACCACGTGATAAGCCTGAATATAGAGAACTTTTGATTCCAATAAAATACGTTTTGAACAGCAATAAACAATTACAGCTCACCTTAGTAATTGCGAAGCTTTCTTATCTGCGGCTGTTTGGCCCGATACTAATATGACTGTCGCCCACGGTAGGCGTTAAAATAGTTCAAATTTGCTATACAAATGACAAAGAAACAATTATCTTAGAATGGATTTTTATGATTGAGTACTTTATCTTCGAACTATAATAGACTGTTCAAAAAGTGAAAAAACGTTGAAATGAGAAGGAAAAAGCAGGCTTATACTCATGTACTTGAACAGTACGTAAAACCAGGCACTTTCCCGCTGTAGATAGCAAGGCTAAGGCGCGAAAGCCTTACGGTCAACCTCGTTCCCAGGCTCTCTCTTTCTTCTGCCTCCCTCGCTGGAACGCGCGTCATGACGTCACCAGAAATTATCTTCACTATCTGCCGCCGTACCTTAACACTTTTTATTCTCTTTCGCATTTTTTAACTACTCCTGAACTGCTACAGAATTCTGAAAGTTTTGAGCACACAGCATGAAGCAGCAATTGAAAAGTTGCTAACCAACTTTTGATATTCATCAAATAATACCCGAAAGAAATTACTTCTCCGACAACAACTGTAACGCCATAAAAGATAACAGCCAGACCGGAAGTAACACCTGCTGCAGTATTAACGGTTACATTGCAAAATACGTCAGTTTTATATCATGAAGCAAAGAAATCTATAAAGAGGGAAAAAAGACAGTTTCACAGTTTCGTTATCTTAACGAAAACCTGATTATTATGACAAAATTAACCATCAGGAACATTTGAATGTGCGATCGATCACTTGCATGGAAGTCACGACCCCCAAGCGCCAAAATTATCACCTGATAATTGCTTCGGCTTAAAGCTTTGAGGAATCAGAATTCCTCATTACAGTTTCAGACCTCCACTGTAAAAACGTAACTGATTGGATCAGTAGTTCTGATTATAAATTTTTAGTACACACTGAATTCCTAAGATGGGACATCATTCAAACAACGGGTTTTCAAGATGGAATTTTAGAGGTCATTAAACCGAATTATTCAGCCATCTGTAACTTTGTCATCAGCGAAGTAACAGAGAAAAAACATAATAAGTCCTAACTGAATTAACTTACGTTCGTTGAGACCAGGCAGAGCGGGCATTCATGCTTGCAATCGACGATGTTCAAATTAGCAGTGACTCGATTTAAAAATAGAGATATTTGCAGTTGTTATGGAATCGAATTACGTAAGCTTCGCGCCGATTGTGTGGGCGGCCGCTCAGTGTCACGTGTCAGTCATTCTCCCCAAGGGGGCCGGGAAATGATCCGGGTTTAGGGTTAGGAGCTTTCGGGGAGCGGTGGCAAGCGGAGCGTCCACTTGCAATGTTAATGCTATATTATGAACTGAAGAAAATATAATATGCGGAAAAGCTGAAAAAATAGAATGTCAATTTTGATCCTGGAGCCCAGTCTCTACGCAGTGTTTGAAAGACCGCTTCAAAGTCTCAGGTAGGTATATATATCACTTGTTAGCTTACGATTTGTTCCGGGAGTATAACGTGTATATAGATAAGACAGATCTAAGTGATACAAGATCAAGAGGCTAGTGATCAACCATTTTTGAGGTGGGCAGCTACGTAACTCTAAGGTAAAAAGCTGTAGGTAGGAGTACGTACGCATAAGTACGTAGGTAGATACGGTAGGTTAAGTCATAGTCAGATAGTCTTGCCAATACCACATCTTCCAGGGGTTAGGCGGCATTGTCGCTGCGCGCTTGAGAAACCCTCGACATAGCTTTTTTCGAGCGAGTTCCGAAGTTCCGGAGAAACACACTCTGCTGTTTCGACTTAGAAGTAACCGTAGATCGCTAAGCAAAAGCAAAGTCTAATGTGTTGCCAGGGTACCCTTGAGTAGAGCAATAGTTACTATCATCACTCACTCTCTCCACCCACCAAGATTTCATGCTCTATCTGCGAATCGCGGTGGTGACGGGAAGTAAAATGATGCGGGTAACCTCAGAAGGACCAGCATACCCTTTATAAAGGAGACGGACACGGTTACGAGCTACGAACCAGAGATAGGCAGGTGCTACTGTGCGTCACTTATTCTCCTGTGATCTTAAGGGCGGAAAAAATAAACTTGACCTTTTACCTTAGTTGTTGTAAAGACATGACTCCAAAAAGCAAATTACCTTTACCTTATTTGAGTGGCAAACGATGCTGCATAAGTTCCACACTGGGCTGCGTCTTTACTTCCACGGCAACGAAAGTAATCATCGCAGTTCCTTGCTCTCGCTGCCTGCATGTCATTCAACGCCTTGGCCAAGTTTTTCACTGCGCAAACGATCTGTTGGGGAGACCCACGGTAGTTGGAGGCGGCAGTTTTCATCCATTGCGGAACCGAATCGGGTAACTCTTCTATCCACTTAGGAAGCGCTCGGCGAGAAAACCAAGGGCTACTTTTCTCTTCCTCGATTTCGCGGTCAAAGATTTCATGGCCGTGAGCAATTTGCGAAGGAAGAAAACACACAGTAAGCATGAAGACCGCTGTGTAAGGCATACAAAACTTCTTTTGCGCCATCATTGTTCCTTCGAAAAAGTTTAAACTTATAGCAGCGAAGAGCTTGCTACTGAAGCTCAGTGTTTAGCCATGAACTAAGTGAATAACTTATTGTCAAGATCATCAATTTATACGTTCTTGGTTTTAATTAATGACGACGTTTTCTCCAACTCGAAGCTTCGCGTTTTTCATTAAGGTTCATTAAATTCTACTTAGGCAGAGAAATTAAGATTTTAATTAAGGTTGAACTTCACTACTTCTGTCGTTAAAGATCGTTCAAGAAGACAAATTACATCTTTTATAATCAACTAAAACACGAGACCGTTCAGATGCCTTAAAATGAGCTGACAGATACCTCAGTACCCTTTTCATTTCAGCGAATCCCGAAAGGGGCAAAGTCGATATATTAAACGCTGGAATCAGAGGCCAAACTACAATTTATCATAGCTTATGGAAGCAGATGCTTCTTAATTTAACTGATTGTTACTTCTTCGTTAGTTGTTTTACGCGGCGGTTAAAAGCCTAAGACCTGACAATGAAAAATGAGAATGTCTTAATTTTGAATGGTCAGAAATGAAGTCACGCTATGAGTAAACAAATGAAATTAAAAGGAATCAAGAGAGATGCAAATCTGCACGTCAAAGTACTCTCTAAGAGGATGAATGAAACTGCATAACAGCGCTGAAGAACTTATCTTACCTTTACTGTTGAAAACCAAATTATTTCTACAATTAAACGCGCGAACTTTAGCTTGCTCAGCCCCGCCTCAAACATTTCCGTATCACCTGCCCCATATATAACGGTCATCGTTTTGTAAGTTGTCATTCTTTGAAGACATGAAAAAAAAGAAGAAAGAAAAAAAAAAAAACTTGAAATTGGTTTAACGTGCTACT